GGGGGGGGGGGGGGTACGTGGACCTCACGTCTACTTCAAAGAGGAGCGGTTGATTACCTAAAGACCCCCGACTTGTGTGAGAGCAGGAGCAAATAGGTAAAAGGAATAGAGATTAGCATATGGTGAACGAAAGACGAGAAAAATAAGTAAGAAAAAGTAACGAATAGGTACATTGAAAACATACAATAGGTAAGGTAATGCAAAACCCACACAGAAGTAACGCAAGAACAGATCCCTGGCCTATATTGCCAGCCCTCTACCCCCTCCCAACCTGTTCAACTCCATTATGCTCAACTACGCTAGCTATATGTCCCCATACCTAGTCATCCGTCTCCAATTACTCCTAGCAGACGTCATGTCCTCGGAAATGTCTGAATAACTAATCAGTTCGATGATTTTTGTTTGTACGAAAGATATAGTCCTATACTGTGGGATTAAGTCATTGCTATTATTCGTACTAATTTGACTGTGTTAATGGTATCCTTTGTAGGCTTCTATGCACCTTGCTCCAACCCTCAAGTGTCAAGCCATCTAACTCTCCTTACTGAATCCTTGCCTACTGAACCAAGTGATGGTCTACCGACCGAAACAAGTCGTGGGAACAGAAACAAATGTTCTGTGCCTGGCATTCTTTACAATACAAACACGTTAGAAGGGTATCACTCCCTGGATAAACAAGGGTTGTTAAAGGCTGAAGCAAAGAAGGTATGATATCGTTCTTTTGTCAAAACTCAACACGTGTTAACTTTTTTATAGTTCCATTTAACATGCCATTTTCTAGTTATATATGATTGTAATATCAAAATCTTGAATTCCAGATTTGGGAGGATATTAGATCAGGAAAGGCAGAGGAGGACAGTTCTGTGCTTTTGAGGTTCCTTCTTATATCGTTTGCAGACCTCAAGAAATTTAACTTTTATTACTGGTTTGCATTCCCTGCTCTGGTTCTTGACCCTCCAGCAACATTAGTTAATTTGAGGCCAGCATCCCAATGGTTCACCCTGCAAGAGGTGCAATGATTTAGATTTATTTCTGTTGTAATTAACCGTGTTTCTTATTTGTTGCTTAAAGATGTAACATTTTACTTTCATGGCATACAGGCTGAATCTGTGTCGGCATGTTGTAATGAGTGGCGTATGTCAAGTTTAACAGCAGGTAGAATCATTTGTACTTTTGTGCCATCCTTGTCCTTAAATGGTCTGTATACTCATCTGTATCACCCCTCTGGCATACAGACACGTACATATATACAAATAGACATGTGTGTTTCTACATATAGATTTGGGATCAAACATATCTCTTTCATAGTGAAAAGTGATGGAACTTAACACCAAGTTTTTCTGTTTGTTTTAAAGTTAATGTGGTTATCAAGATTTTCTACATTATTTTAACCTTTTAGGCCACTTAGCATTTGCATTTTATTGGTCCTTATATGATGTGAGGAAAATGAAGATCTTTTGGGTTCAATTTATTTGCCATGAGGATAAATGAAGACGAGACCCACAAATGGAGAATGGAGAACGAGGAATAAAGGAATATGGTATAAACGAATAGCAACTAAATAATTCTAAAATAGACTTAGAAGTTGAGCATTTCTTTTACCTTAAATGTTGGAAATGTATTCATATGTGAAGCACGTAGAGTATTTTGGATTCAAAGTTGCTAAAGACATGATTTTGTAGATGTGCCATTCTTTTTGGTCTCCATTTCTTCAAATTCGCATGCGACTATTAGATCTCTGAAGGACTTCAAAGCTTGTCAACAGGACGGTCATAAGGTCAAGACACGTTTATCTTTCTAAATATAGAAAACCCGAATTGCTAATAGTGCCAGAGCCTTTACAGAATACAGGGGTGAGTTTTATGGTACAACCCATGATGGGTTATACTATACAACTTATCAATATAACCTAGTAAAGATTCTGGCAAAATCTTTCAGTGCCATAGTTCTTTGAAAAAACTTCTTGTTTGGTTGACAGATCCTATTTGCTTTCTATGATCCCTGTCATCTTCCAAACAATCCTGGCTGGCCTCTACGCAACTTTCTGGCATTTATTTCTGCAAGATGGAACATTAAGAAGGTTCAGTTTTTATGCTATCGCGAGAACCATGGCTTTGCTGATTTGGGTTTGTCCCTCATTGGTGAGGCTCTGGTACAACCTTCACAAGGTAGAGCGGCCAAAATTGGGTAACAACTCTTTAAAAAATCAATATTTTGCCTCTTCAAAAGTATTACTTTTGATCTGCAATTGTTTCTTGTAACATGTAAAATCCTTTTTACTTTTATGTAAATCAGCATGGCAAGATCAACAGCATGTGCCTAATGCTGTTGGATGGGAACTCAATAAAGGGAAGAGAATACCTAGATGCATTAACCTATCTACTTCAATGGATCCAACTAGGTAAGTTGGGTAGCTGAATTGTGTTTTTGTGAGTCGCCTTCCATAACATTAGTAATTAAATCCTACAGGATGGCTGTATCAGCTGCGGATTTGAATCTAAAGCTAATGAGATGGCGTGCCCTGCCGTCTTTGGACTTGAGTATGTTATCTAGCACCAAGTGTCTTTTGTTGGGAGCTGGGACTCTTGGATGCCAGGTGGCTCGCATGCTTATGGTGAGTGTCGACGTCCCGAAAAAATGTAATAGTTACCTTTTTCTGATGTCCCAAAACAAATGCATCATTCCCTTTCTAAAACATTTTGATCCAAAATTATCTGTGTACCGTCTGTAATCATCACCAAATAGTGATAACATGCGGGTCTTCACCGAAACAACCGCTTTATCGTTTGGGATAGCAGTCAGATCTGCCTACAGCCCCCCAAAAGAAGAGCGGGATATACTAAGATCGTTTGGTTTGATTTACCAAATATTGATGACCACTTGGACATCCCATTTATTTTGGGACAAAGCAAGTATCTCTCATCTGTATCAATCATAAATAAAAATTTATCATTCTCCAAAAGTACCTCGTGACATGTATGTTTGTTCATTGCAAAAAGGGTATAATGGTAATTTGTGACATTTTTTCTGACCCCAAAATTCACCACATTCTCACTTACTCAAACCTCTACACTGAGGCTTATAAATTGTGTATCTGCAGGCTTGGGGTGTACGGAAAATAACGTTAGTTGATAGTGGTAAGGTGGCCATGTCAAATCCATTGCGGCAATCCCTATATACATTGGAAGACTGTCTCGATGGTGGGGATTTTAAAGCCTTAGCAGCAGCTAAAAGTCTCCGGAGAATTTTTCCAGCAGTGGTAAATTAATCTTTTCTTCAGTATTAAAATCTGTCTCTCTATATATATGTATATATTTCAGAATATTTGTTAAAAGTTTAATTGAACATTTTAATTTTACACGTTGATTCATCATTTGCAGGAAGCAGAAGGGGTGGTGATGGCTATACCTATGCCTGGGCATCCGGTACCTAGTCAAGAAGAGCACAACGTGCTTGATGACTGCAGAAGTCTCCATGATTTGGTCGAGTCTCATGATGCCATTTTTTTGTTGACTGATACAAGGGAAAGTCGTTGGCTTCCAACTCTTTTATGTTCAAATGCTAATAAGGTTAGCTGTTGTCGTTCGTACTTGTACATGTCTGTTTGGCTGTTGTACTCCCTTTGTTCCACACCTTGGTTATGTTTTCCTTGTACTTGCTGCTATTTATGTCGTCGTTGCTTTCTAATATCTAATTTCTCAAACTTTAGCATATTTGTCTCTCCGTCTTAGGGCCTGTTTGTTAGCAGCTTAATGAGCTTAATGGGAGTCACAGCTTATTCGGTCAGCTATACATGACTGTTTGGTAGTGGCTTAATGATATAGAAAGTGGCTTATTCAGTAAGCTTCTAGGAGAAAGCTTTATGTAGAAAGCCAAGTTTTTTCCAGACCTTGCCCTTCCAATTAAAAAACACGCTTCTTCCATATTGAAAAAACCCTCCCAAAAAAACCCTTCTCAATCTATAACAAACAGATTAATCCACAAAGACTACTTTATCCATACATGACTTAATGGATAACAAACTAAACAACCCCTTAGTTGTATTGCTGTCGTTTACTCATGTCTACCTTTTCAAATTTTAACATATCTGTATTTCTTTCTTTTACACACTTTTCACTCGCCCGAGGTGTTCACAGAATCAGCCGCTTTACTCTTTTAGGTAGAGGTCAGGTTTACGTACATGATACATCTCCCCCCCCCCAAGGGACCCCACCTCCGGGCGGGATAAAGTATAAACTGCGCTCGTTTAGTTTGATTTTAAATAAGATCTTGGATCTTTCTATAATGTAGGTAAGCAGTTAACGCGGTCGATCGCAAAAAAAAATCAGTAGTAGCAACCGCTGTTTGGTATCAAAATTGCGGTCAATAGCGGTAATAGTGGCTGCTATTTGCAACACCACTATTCATGCATTGCTATTTTGGCCAGGACCGTTATCCGCTATTTCACTGCTATAGCGGCGCTATTAACTGCATAGTAATATAGATAGTTATTACTAGGCCCTTAATGTTTCAGCTGCCAAGAGAACTGGCATTGACATGCTTTTTACTTTAATCCTCAGCTTACAATTACTGCCGCATTGGGGTTTGACAGTTTCTTGGTAATGCGTCATGGTGCTGGTCCGCTCACTGCAACTGATGAATCGAAAGCCGAACCTGTTAGTTCTTTATCTGCCGGTGTTGAAGAAATGTCAATGACACAGGGAGATAGCAAGATGAGGCTGGGATGTTACTTCTGCAACGATGTTGTTGCCCCTGTGGATGTACGTAGTTTCTCTTGATCTCAATGAACGCATGTCATAGAGTAAAATTTTCAATATATGGTGTTCCGTGTTCGCCATTTATTTTATTTGATAACTAGCTATTTTCCATTACATCGGGCTTTTAGGCTTCAAACATTATAAAAATGTGCATATACTTAAATCCCAATATATATAGGGTTGGGTTCCGGTAAGAAATGAGAGTTATGGTGAGAAGGGTAAGAAGAAATCTCCACCCTTGGATCAATCCTAATTGAAGATCAACATTAATGAGAAGCACCGGATCAGTTCCCTTCTAAACCGTAATTCATGGGTTGGTTTTAGACTAAAAGTGATCAAGGGTCCAAATCCCTTCATACGCTTCTCATCTTAACCCCTACTCTCACACGATCCTTCGTTTGTATACATGTATGTGTGTGTGTATAGGGTTGGGTTCTAGTGAGAACATCTTCTTTTTGTGAGAAGATGAGAAAAAGTGACGGTATCCTCATTGGTTAGCCATAAGTTAGTTTTTTTGAAAAGCTAGTTTAAGTAATAAGCTGCGGGGGCTTTTTTCACTTTATCCCCATTATGTCCCTTATAATTTTTCAAATGTTCTTTTAGGTCATTTTACATTATGATCTAGCTTATCAACTAGTTTTTTTAGCACCAAACATGACTAGTTTATAAGCCAACAACTAGCTTTTCAACTAACAGCTAGTTTGCCAAACATAGCCTCTAGTTTGCCAAACATAGCCTCTAGTTTGCCAAACATAGCCTTAACAGCTAGCTTGTTTTGATACCAAAGATGACTAATTTACAATCATTCTTCCACAAATCATGCAGTCAACGGCTAACCGCACTTTGGACCAGCAATGCACGGTGACACGTCCTGGACTTGCTCCTATTGCATCGGCCCTTGCAGTCGAACTGTTGGTTGGGATTTTGCATCATCCTCTTGGGTAATGCTCCAGTTTTGAACCAAATTAGATTCTTGACGGTATTTGTTACTTCTTATGCATGTTACTTTTTCACTCCAAGAAGTCATAAACTTAGAAGGATGGAGAAAATGGGAAACAAAAATAAACCAAACCAAACGAGCCAGGTGTATCCCACCTGAAGGTGGGGTCCGGGGGGGTGATGTTCACATACCTGACGTCTACCCTCCAAGGGTAGAGCAGTTGTTTCCGTGAAGAAAATGGGAAACGGTCTTGGGTTAATTGATTGTTCGACATTTTTTATGTTGTGATCGAAGTGTTATTAGTTTTGGTGCATATTTTCGACAGGATATCAGCAAAAGCTGAATTTGGCAACTCTTTGGATGGTGGAAACAGTGAGCAGCCTCTTGGTATATTACCCCATCAAATCCGAGGTGCCCTATCGCAGTTCTCTCAGATGATACTTGTGGGACATTCCTCGAATAGCTGCACCGCCTGTTGCCCAATTGTAAGTTCCCTTTTTACCAATTGAGAAGATCATATGAGAACCATAAATATTTTGAGAACCCATATATGCATTGATGCATATACACTATGAATTTCAATGAATATATGCATTGATGCATATATAGTAGATATGCATTGATGAATAATCATTGACAGAATACATATTTGGATTGTATATATGCGTCAATACATATATATATATATGTGTGTGTGTGTGTGTGTGTATTAGACTTTATACTAGACCAAATGAACCCCTGATCCCCACTCCAAGGAGGAGGAGGGAGGATGTATGCAGAGTTGTCATCTATCTCAAAGTGTAAAGTGGATATTGGCGGAGTTTAAACCAAGCCAAACGAAACCCTGATATCCCACTCTGAAGTAAGGTGGGGGAGGGGAAGTATGAAGGGCTATTATCTGTCCTAAAGAGTAGAACAAATGTTTCTTTGATAATTAGTAGAGCTTAATCCTCTTTAATACCAACTTATCCATTCTTGATGTTGATGTTCGACTTATTGTGATTTTTAGGTGGTTTCTGAGTATCGGAAAAGGGGTCTAGATTTCGTCCTACAAGCCATCAATCATCCTACTTATTTGGAGGATCTCACCGGACTAACGGAACTGATGAAATCGGCTAACTCTTTCGAACTTGACTGGGATAACGAGACTGATAACGACGATGATTGTGTTGAAATCTAATTTTCTCGTGTATTTTTTCAGTATGAAGTATAACTTATCCGTGAATAATAAATACATGGTAGCTTATTCAATTTAGTTAATTTCTGGAAAATTACAAATATTGTTTAACATATAAATAACCAATTAATTTTTTTAACCATTAAGCTATGTTGATGTTGATGTTTTTTTTTAAGTATATAATATTTATATAAGGTAAATGCAACAAATAAACTCACACACTCTTCTCATCTTTGGTGAGGTTTGAACCCTTGACCTCTTAAAAGGCCAAAGACTACGATATCGTTAGGTCAAAGGCCTTTTGGTTTTGGTTTTGATGTTGATGTTCATTGAAACCTAATCCAATTAATACTAAACGTTATTTGGATAGATTCAGTTCGATTTTCAGATGATTTGAAAATTTCACAAAATTGAATAACCTGAATACTCGATAAACCGCCCGAATAATCACCTCTTCATGAGAAGAAATATGACAACCCATATGATATAGGGAAACTTATGGGCCATTTATCAAAAGACTTATCCCATAAGCACTTATCAAGTCACATTATTTCACTGGATCTAGAGCATATGACAATGACCAATAATCTTACCTGGTAAGAGAGAAGACAATCTAGAGTCTTATATGGTGGTAAGTGAGGGTCGTCATCTTTTACCATAGTTAGTGCTTACCGGATAAATTGTTGCATACAATACCGTTTTTGTGGACTAAAGTCTTACCAGTAAGTAAGTAATATTGTTAAATTTTACCAGTAAGCACTTACCACAGTAAACACTTATCGGGATAAGCATTTAGTAAACAGACCAGGGGTAGGAACCCATAGCTAGTATAGACGGTAGGAAAAGAGACTGATTTTAGGTAGAGAGTGCTCATAAGGTTGGTAAGTTGTTAGATTGGTTACGAAAGTCCTAGGATAAACTAGAAGATACGTCATTACCTTACTTTTATTATGTTTATTTTACCTGTTTATATTTATATTGTACTGCTTATTTCTAAGCAGCCTTTGATTCTTCTTATAAAATTATTCAAATATTTTGACACACTTTCTTTCTCTCACACACTTTTCACAAGTCAGAGATTTTTATAGAAACATTTATTTTACTCGAAGCAGAGGACAAATATGTCTACATCATACTCACATACCCCATCTCTATATGCGACGTACTCTGTCCATTTTATTTTTGGTTTTAGGGTAATGTGTCGTTTATATGATACCATTCTAAGCCCCCCCCCCCCCCCCAATCATTTCCATTCCCTATCGTTAATAAATAGAACACGTCACTATATTTGCATCAATATAGAACGTATTTTGTTTCGGTTATTACTTTCTAGAATCTGCTTTTAAAACCTACATTTTTGGTGTCTACGATGAGCATGACACCCAAGAAAGTCTAATATTAAAAAAAAAGATTTTTATTTACAAAGTTATAATATATTCCTTTTAATTGAATTAAGAACGTACTTGAACCCTTCATTGCAGGAAAAAAATAGATGTTTTCCCGGAATAGAGCTTTTAAACTTAAGTTCCCAAGATAGCAGATAAAACCAGATTACGTTCTATTTTGATTCCGTTTAGTCAAATAATAAATTGTATCACGACAATTATATTATTTACTAAAAACAAGTCAATTTCATCGTTACTAACTTGTGTTAGATCTAATGCAAGTATTAGTATCATTTACCGCATCGTTGCATATTAGATAATGTCGAAGTTGTTTCCAAAAGTTGCCGTGTTTGTACATAACCCCGTGACCCCAACACTTATAGAACGATTATAAATTCAGTATTCAACAAAAAGATCCGATAAATATAACAAATAGTCAAAGCCCATATCCATAGTGATTCCAAGCAAAGAACCAAACGCCACTTAGGTAAAACAAGTTCATTTTTGTGCACTGATTACAACTGATTTTTATTAAATAAGAGCATCTCCAGTAGCTATGTTAATTTTTTTTTCTCTACAATAAAGTATCAAAAGTCAAAATCTTTAAAAACAATTACATCCAACTCCAACAGGTACGCTATTTTAGTAAATTCTAACATTAATTAGTATTATTAAAATATTCAATACATTTAATAAAATATTATTTTCTCCTAAACATTTATTATTAAAATAATATTTTTTTTCTCTCTTCCTCTAGATTTTTACAACCTCTCCTGTTTTTCTCTCTCTATATTTTAACAAACAAAATAACATAGTTGTTGAAGCAAAAAAAATTGCTAAAAATACATCTTTCCTCCATTTTAGCATTGCTAAAACTCCATCTTTTCTCTAAAATCCCGATAAAATTTCAAACGAGAACACATTCATTTTATGAAAACACAGGAACACCTTCTGGACGACTTATGGGCCGTTTACCAAACACTTACCCGGTAAGTGCTTATTGGTTAACACTATTATTTACTTACCGGGAAAGATTTTAGTCCACAAAAACGACATTGTATGCAACAATTTACCCGGTAAGCACTTACCATGGTAAGAGTCGTCGCCTTTACTTACCGGGTAAAACTCTTGGTCCTTGTCTCGCTCTTACTAAGTAAGATTATTGGTCTTTACCATATTCATCTGGTGAGGTAATGTTATTTGGTAAGCGCTTACCCAGGTAAGTGTTTAGTAAACGGTCCCTTAACCCATGACCTAGGTCGCGTAAAAAATTACCTACATATCTGATTTCGTATCAAATTTAATGGACTACAATATCACATATGATTGAATATGGTATAAAGTATTATCCTATTTTCATAAAATAAACAGGTAAAACTAATTATTACAACTTTAAATTATACCAATAACTTCATAAAAATAAAATAACAATGTATTAAATGTATTGATGGCCAAAAACCGGTCCTGGGTCGAGCCGAGCCAGTCCCTACCGGGCCTGATGCCTCCTTTAACCGGCCCTTGTCGGTAGAGATGGCCAAATCAGCCCGGCCCGGCCCGGGACCGACAAAGGACCGGCGGGACCGAAAACGGGATCGATTGAGGTTTTTGGTAGTTTCGTGGGACCGGGACCGGTTATGGGACTGACTATGGACCGGCCCGGCCCGAAAATTCAAGTAATTTTATAAATAATTTTATAATGTATTTTTATAAGAAAACGTAATTTTAATTATATTAAAACATATTTTTAAAGTGTATTTGAGTGACTCAATTGTAAATTTTATAATGTATTAAAAATATATATAATTAAAAAAATAAAAAAAAAATCTTATTTTTTAATGCAGGGACCAGTTGGGACCGGGACCGGTGGCCCATAACCGGTTATAAAGTACCTTGACCGGTCCTATCATTTTCGACCGGGACCGAGACCGGGACCGATTACGCCGGGACCGGTTATGGCCGATTATGAGAAAGGTTAGGACCGATTGGAACCAATCCGACCTGGCCCGGGTCCGGTTTTTGACCATCTCTACTTGTCGGTACCGGTTCTGGTTTTCCGTCGGTCCGAGCCGGTTTGGCGGTCACCAATTAAATGGGATCGTTGTGGCCCAATCATTGGCCCAATCAATACCCAATCTTGGAGCTATAAATACCACATGGACCTTTAAATGGCGTTTAACTCCACCGAGATCTTCCCTCAGGGTTTCTCTATCGCGCTAGGGTTTACAGTTCACCGGCGGTAAGGAATGGATCTTTCCAAGAAGAGAAAAATGGAGGAGAACGGTGGCCAATTCACCACCGATGTTACTAACGACGTCGTTGCTCCACCACCGTCATACTCCTTTCCAAGTCTTACTCCACAGGATGCGCGCAAAATACTTGAACCGTTCACCAAAGAGCAGCTACTCGACGTCCTACAAACCGTAGTCGTCCGAGACATCGCTGTTCTGGACGCCGTTCGATCGGTCGTAGACTCCGATCCTACCCAACGCAAACTTTTCATCCGCGGTATCGGCTGGGAAACAACCACGGATAAGCTTCGATCTATCTTTTCAGCTTTTGGGGAACTCGAAGAGGCTATTGTGATAACTGATAAAACTACTGGAAAATCTAAAGGTTATGGATTTGTTACTTTTAGGCATATAGACGGGGCGGTTATGGCTTTGAAACAACCTAGCAAGAAGATCGATGGTAGAATTACGGTTGCGCAGTTAGCGGCGGCCAGGGATTTAGCTAATGTTGATGTGTCGACGAGGAAGATTTACGTCGGAAATGTTCCGTTTGAGATATCATCGGATAGACTTTTGAGTCACTTTTCATCGTATGGGGAGATAGAAGAAGGGCCGTTAGGGTTTGATAAACAGTCAGGGAAACAAAAGGGGTTTGCTTTTTTCGTTTATAAAACTGAGGAAGGGGCGAGAAATTCACTTGTTGATCCAATTAAGAACATTGATGGGCACCAGGTTATGTGTAAAATGGCTACTGATGGGAAGAAGGGGAAAGCAGGTGGGCCACAAGGACCTACTGGGATGCCTGGTGATGCCGCTCCACCCCATGGATCAATGCCAGGGTCCATGAATGCGGGGTATGGTATGCCAGGTTAGATTTTTTTCCTGTGAATTTTGATCCCGTTTATATGTTCAAATTCAATGATTTAAACGAATTTACATAGGTGTGCTTTGGAGAATATATGAATTTTGTTTGTCATTGTAGGTTCTTTTCTTTAATTTTTGGAGGGTTTAATATTTTGAAGAAGTTGGTTTTTTTGTGTTCGGATTAGGTAGAAACTTTTGGTTATGGCAATCATTTAAATTTCAGTTGGGAGTCCAAATGTAGAAAACAAGGTGCTTTGGTATTCCAATATTGGTAGTTATGCTGTTGTGTGCTGTTAGAAGCAATGTTCCTATGTCCAAATAGACAGAATTGTGGTTGGTGTTACTGTACTAGTGATAAGCAATTGAAACCAAAGAAGAAACAGGAATACTGGAGTAATTTACTCATTAATTTTAAGACATCCCGGGCTGAGTTGATTAACTTTTATTCTAATGGTGAATTACAGGTGGGATAACATCGTATGGAGGGTTCTCTGGTGGGCCTCCTTTGCCTTCTCATCAAAATCCACAACTAAATTCTTCAGTGCCTTCAGCAATTGGCAGTGGTCATGGTTATGGAAATCAGGGACCACCCTCATTTGGTGGTGGTGGTGGGGGAAGTGGGTATGGCGGTGGTGGGTATGGTAGTGGCGGATATGGCAGTGGTGGATATGGTGGTGGCTCACATTATGGTGGAGGGGGTGCAGCCCCAGATCATCCGGGGCCGAACAGTTTTGCATCTTCAATTAACAGAATGCCACCAACTCAGGGAGGATACCCTGATGGTGGAAATTATGGTATGTCTTCAGCTTATCCAACACAACCGAACCTCCCACCAGCGGGTCCTAGAGGCCCTCATGGTGGGATGTACCAGGGCGGGACTCCTTATTATTGAGGTATTTTTATGTTTTTCATGTTCTTCTAATTTGTTTCTGAATATGTTTGTATATTCCTTCATACATCATGCATTATAGAAATAAGCAGGTGCTTCCTCCTAGTTCGAAGTCAACTAATTCACTTTTGATTTTGTGTGTAAAATTGGGTATTTGTTCTGTGGCAGACCTGAGTTTGGTTGTCTTTTAATGTGCACATTGTGTTTTCTTCTCTCTTGTGGGGTAAAAAGTTTATAATGATTTGTGAGATGATAGATAACTAGAATTTGCACAGTTTGAATGTATGCCTGATTCCCTGTCTTCAGTTCCAGCAAAATTTGTGTATCTGGTTTTTTGGCATGTGACTGAGTTGTTCAATATGTTTACTTCCTTTTTTGTTGTCTATTATTCCTTCTTTGCCACTTAATTATGTTATTATTAGTTTTTTTTTACTGAGCTCCTCCCTCCATCTCAAAATAAGTGCCCACATTTCAATTTTAGTTTGTCCAAAAGTATCCGCTTTCCCATTCTATCCTTAATTATGAGATGGAAAGGTTCTCTATTAAGAAGTGTAATAATTACACATTCCTAAAACTGTGTGCCATTTTCATTGTTGACCTTTATTTTTGATCGAAGCGAGTATTATCAACAATATACTATTGGCTATAAAGAAAGGGAGTGTATGCTTTCAACTGGTAGTTTATGAGTTGTATGGACATGACACTTGACAAATGTTCTAAAATTATGTTGTTGCCTAGGTTTTTTGGGTGATGGCTTGGAATATCTGTTCTACTAGTTGGTTTTACTAGTATTTTCATTTGTTTCATTTTTCTTAGGAGCATCAGCTTGTTTACCTGCTTCATTTTTTGTTTTCGTTTGGTTTTCTTCTGTTCTGAATCCTTTATTTCTCTCGAGACTTGCTACGTTGAATAAGATTGACTCTGCGTCTTTCCGACTCTTGTGAGTCTTAGATTTCTGATCTGATAATTTCACCAATATGGGCATTAGTGGAAGTAGCTGCAGGAGGCTTTTTTGCCCTTTATAATTAAGGGATGGATGCAATGGTTAGATATATGATTTATGTTGGTGTTATGTTCAGTCCATGGTCGAAAACGAAAATGATGGGATAACGATTGATTATTGATACATAAGATTTTAATATACTCCAAAAAATGATTTTCAGCTGTTACATATTGCTAAGAAATGAAGGGTTATGTAGCGTTGTGCTTTGGCTTTTTCTTTACCTTGTGATTCCATGATTTTAGCAAAGAGCTCATAGTAACCATTCATTTTCTTGTAAAATTAATAACATCTCAGTCATTTTAAGGTGAAATAGCATTGGGATAGTTAGGCCGAGGCTTGGAACTAGTTGGCCGAGATGTGTTCATAAAAAATTACATATATCTTGACTTGTATGATCTCTACTCTTCTATATTTTGGTTTATTTTTCTAGACGAGAAGACAGGTTTATTGTTTTTTGGTATATATGATTTGGATCTTACAAAGAGGTATGTCAAAAGGTTCAAGGTTTTTCTATAGAAGGAATGTTGTTTGATGGTATAAATTGGATTTGTTAGATGATCTTTTATTTTGCAAACAGGTGTTTCTTTCTTGTTATGTGTTATTTGCATATGAACCCTGTTATGAGAAGGTAAGTTTTACAAGATTTTTTATACTAGGATTGTTGCTTTCTGCTACATGTTTCATTTCTTATAGTCAGTTTGTTCTATGCTATATTCTTTATGCAATTATGCATGAAACATTGATGTCTTTGATGGTAAAGAATTATTTTTGCATGCCCATTGTTCATAAAGATTTAAGGTAGTCTGGCTGTTGATGTAATCAAGAGAAGGAGGGCCACTCACTGTCAAATAAATTTTCTTATCATGATTGTCATTGTCATCTTCAATGTAGTCTTTTTCTCATCATCGAATGAACTTGCTTTTTTTTTTGCATCAAGTAACTTCTTTTTAGTTGTAGCAGCAAAAGCGAAACTGTAAGGCCTGATTTTGTGTGTGCGCGATGTATTGGTTGCTGTTTAGAAAGGATATTACGAGTTTTTATGCTTAATATGACCCCCAAAAAATGCCCCACCGTTGCCCTATACGGAAATATGCTTAACCTTTTCCGCAAGATTACCCCTCCCTAAAACTGCTCTAATCCCCTCTCCCTCACTATCTCTATCTCACTTGAGCCTATCAAACCCCCAAAGTCCCTGTTGAAACCTCTCTCTCTCTCTATATATCTGTTTCTCACAGGACACACCTATATCTTGTATCTTCTTCTTGATTTCTTACTCAGCATCTTCTTCCTTGTCTCCTTGCATCAGTATCTTCTTCTCGTCTCCTCCTCTCCTTGTTGGGGTTTTGTACTTTTATTTGTTCCTGTTTGGTTACCTTTTGCTCCGGTTTGTTTGAGTGGTGTATTGCTTATCTTTTCTGCATCTGCTTCTTCCTTGCCTTCTTGTAACCAAACCAAACGTAACCAAACATCAAAAAAGTAGAAGCACAACCCCCAACAAGGAGAAAAGGATATGAGGGAGAAGCAGGTTTGTCGAGGAACCACAAAACAATGTTGGTGCCTCAAGTGAGAAACCGATAGAGAGGGGGGTTTTGATGGGGGTTCAATAGGCTTGAGTCGGAAACAAATATAGAGGAAGCGGGAAAGATTTTGGGGGGGGGGTGTTAGGGTGAGGTAATTTTGAAAAAAAGGGAAGCATATATTTGTTGCAGGGTATATAGAAACTCAAATTTTATTACATAACGGAATTTTCTTTTTTTCTATAACCATTGGTCAACAGCAAAATCATTTTTCATGCATGTGGGGTTTTGTGTCTTTAGATTTTTTGTCTTGAACTTGAACCAAGGGAGTTTTAGTGTTGCTGTAGACAATAATCTTGAAACCGTAAACTGGTTTGCAAGTGTTAGTTGAAGACACCAAGTGAACATGCAACAATGTCTCTTAATACAAGAAAAATTATGGGCGAGGCTTTCTGCATCAAATAAAATGACTCTATATCTGTTTGTTCATGTCTTTGCAATATAGTTTTGAACTTTTCTGGTTGTTTATTGCTTTAGTTATCCTGCCTCTTTCAGAGTAGGTTTAGGGTTCATTTCGTATGGCCTATTAATTGTGTAACTGCTTAAACACTGGAGTTTGCATCATGTTTGTAAGTTGCTTTTTGACTGTTGGTCAAATTTCTGTCATTTGTTTCTCTTACTTACCTTATCTTATTATTAATTTTGTAGCCTGTCATTGTTCTTTTTTGTTAAAACAGTTCAAAGTTTTCTACTTGTTTTTTTAAGAGCATCCTTGAGAATTCTTGGCTAACATGTAATTTGAGTTTCTCTTTTTACTGGTCATGATTTTATTTTGCTGTTAATTGGCTTTTGGTGTTGGAATTTGGAATGATGGATTGAGCTCAATGTGGATATTTGATTCAGGTGTATGAGAGCTTCTTGGACGCAAATGCTTTAAATGGTTGGTGAGAGTGGTTGATAAATGGACTGGTGTGCTTTGTTGCTGCTTCACTCTATCTGCCTATATGAGTTGTGGTTTTTTATGATGTTTCTTAGTTTATGTTTACTGTAGTAAATCTTGGATCCTTGTTTAGGACTTGCAAACAGTTGTAACGTGTTTTAATGGGAGGGCTATAAGATATCTTTTGCTGTAGTATATCTTTGTTATGTAATGTCTTTTCACCATGTGGTTACTAGCTACCATATACGTGCAGCTTCTAGTTGAAGACTTGGATGTTTGTGCAACATTTCTCGTCCTTGGTTCATATTTCTGTTATATTTTTGCTATCTTTTGGCTTAATTCTGTCTTTTCTCGTTGTCGTGGTAAGAATCCTATTGCTCCTTATCAATCATCTTTTATGATATATGCAAGCTGATGTCTTAATGTTGGCAGTTGATGGATTTATACTGTTACTGCATTTGACATGTATACGGATGGCACTTTCTGGTTTCCATTATTTTTGGTATTTACTGTATTTGAAGCATGGGCTTCTTTAGAGCTATGGATTTATCTATTTGAGGGAAAAAATATGCTTTGATTACGAAGTGTTAATGTCTTCTCCTGTTCACTGTCACTGTGGGAATGCTGATTTTTATGTATCTTGTAATTTTTATTTGTGATCTATTTCTGCAATATCTTGTTAGGTGCTACCTGACAGTCGGATGGCTGAATTTGGTTTGGAATTTGAGCTTGGAATTTTTACTATTTGTATGTACTTGCATTTCTTTTTGCCCTGTTTGCACCAGATGATGTTTTTTCATGCTCACAGCATCTAAATTTGATATACAAGAGGCCCTTGCATCATGTGGATGGCTGTACTGATGCAAATGCTTATTGCTTAAGTTCATTGTTTTCATACATTCCAGCATCTTTGATCTATTCTAGCACAATTGTCTGATCTGTTTTTTTAATTATCAGCTTGTCATCAATTCTGAAGCATTTGCAAAACAATCTTATGATACACATGGCCTCATCAGTTACTTCATGTACCATGCACATGTTATGATATGATTTTTTGGATATTATGCATTGATTGCATTTCTTCTTGCGTTCTTTTCAGATAGATTTTCTTGTCACCGTTTTTCAACAGAAATCTGCTTCCGGACTATAAAACCTAAATAAGTATCGCCATTGGTCTTACCTGTGCTTCATGGGGCACTCTGTTTTGATAATGGCAATGTCATGAATTTTTGTGATACCAAACAACCTAAATAAGTTTCTTATTGCCATTGGTCTTACCTGTGATTCATGGGGTACTCTGTTTTGATAATGGCAATATCATGAATATTTTGATGCTAGGTGAGTATATAAGCATCCACTAGGCTGTTCTCATATTGGGCACCTTGGCTTGAAAGAGTTTTTCTGATAAATACATTGTGCCTCATAAAAATGCAATGTGGTACATATTTGTACTTCTATAAAATAGTTCAATTCTTAGTCAAATTGGAATGCATGGTCTAATAATGGCAACAAAATAGGAGGAATTTCATGGATCAAATATTTTCAATAGTTTATGATGATGGCATTGGGAAAATAGGTAACTTGAGATTAAAAATTTAGCAGGAAGAGAAACAATGAAATCAACCAGACATCCCATAAAAGAGTTTGCTTCATATTTATGCGATTGATGGGATACAAGAGAAGTAATATGCAATATATTATGGTTGAAGTAGGAAGACAATTAAATTTGAATGTGATCTTCAACGTGGTAGGAGACTTGAGCCACTGGAAACTTATGTGCATGTTTGGAAGTGAATAGGTCATGCTAGTGATAGTCCTAAACTTGTTGGTCAATGCCTATCAATTTTACAATCTGCTCACATCGGTGATTGAAATATGATGACCATCTTTCAAAACTTGTCATAGAGTTGACAACTTTGTAGATTATAATGGTTTGAGACCATCAACGGAGCCTATTTTGGGGATTAGAGAAGTAAAAAGTTGTGCATGGAAGTTTGTGGCATGTACATCAATTCATGTGGAAAGATTGATTTTGATTTATCTTTTTAAATGCTTCTGCTTTGTGCCCCAAATTTCATGCTCTGTGCAAAGAGAAGGATCTTTTCAAGACTTCTTTCGTCATTTGATTCCATTTGTTCTTTATATGGGATCTACAGCCTATTGAAAGCTGATCTTATGTACAGCCTACATTTCATATTATGGAACTATATCGAGAGCTACATGTGGTTTTGCTTTTCTTATATTGGCTTCTGTTTTAACTATGACATAGCATCAATGTCAATGTGAGATGGGTTAGGATTTTTATATGAAACAAATGAGGATGCAAGTGTTTGTTGTCTTCTTATTGAATTACTCCTTTTCCCCTTCTTGTGCAGCTAATCGCCTAATACTTGTATGTTTTCTCTAGATTGATGTGTTGAAGATCATTTAATGTTTGGGATTTGTCATCTTCCTATTACTTGTTTAAGTGAATATTGGCCCTCAATCAATAGGTTAATATCAAACAAATTCTAGCATTTCTTGCAACTCAAAAAGAGGAAAAAATAGTGTTTGTGATATGCCAATATATACATTTGTTGCACATACTAACGTGTGCAAGGAAGCTAGATCAAGATGATTCAACAGATGGTTCATTGTTGCTGTTCTAGGCATCCCATCGTGTTTTAATTTGAGATGGGTAATTTAGTAATGTAGTAATCTTGTCCCATATCTGTAATTTTTGTTCCATCTATTTTGGTGGTGCCTTTTTTTGTCCCACTAAGTCCTTGCCCTGTCCCATTCTAATGTCGCACCAAACATGAGACACCAAGTTTTTTGTTCAGTCCCGTCTTGTCCCCGGTACCAAACGCACTCTGAAGCTGGTTCTGATGTAGCAACTATACTTCAATATCATCATCATCGTGTTCATTTTAAATGTTTCACATAGTAACTTAGCACCAAAATTTGCTTTGTTTGTAATCTATAAAGTTGCATACTGTAACATTCATATGCATTATCCATACAACATGCTCGTATGTTGTAAATTTATCTTTTGTTCTACTAATGTGTGTTTGATTGAGCTTTAAGTGCCGTGTGCCTTTATCATAAGTTCATGAAAGTTAAGATTGAGACGCTTGAAACATATGATCTAAGAAACAATATCCTTTGGCATACTTTTCCTGTTAGTCATCCAGTCATGCCACTTAGAGCTGAATTTCTGACATCATGCTCTCTTATGCTAGCTGAAGATATGAAAGCTTTTGTATATGCATTTTTTGTATCTGCAAATCTTGGACATTTAGAAGTATGCTATAAGTAGAGATGCACAAGTCCAAGACTTTTTTCGGGCCTGGTCCCGAGCCTTCCAAGCCTGTTTTCAGCGAGTAAAAGAAGGTCAGGGCCGAGATTTGGGGTTGAAAAGGGCACGATCAAGCCTTTTCAGGTTTTGAGGCCTGTCCCCGACTGGGCTTTGGGCTTTTTTGTGTATTCTGCTATGAAGTAATGAAAGTTGTCAACACCTGTGTTTGTTTTCTATCATCTGGTCCAACTTTTTGTACTTTTTTGTCTCTTTGATAAAATCTACATAGCCATTGCGGATTTTGTTTGATTTGGCGATTTCTTGCTGTTTTGGTTAATTAACTTTGTTGTGGTTATAGTTTTGGAAATCCAGTTTAAGTTTTGCTATTTCGCCAGTTTTAGTGGTGTAGTCAAGTGGTGATTTTATTGTTTTGATTTTTTTTTGATTCTTTTAGCCACTTATTATTGCTTTTTTTTTGATAATGGTATGTGATTATTAACCATACATAGGTTTCAGAGAAAAAATTAGCATACTAGTTTGTGGTTGGAATTTATATCCATGATCTGGTTACAATTGTCCAGTGAGAGAGACCAGAATCCTTCTTCCATACAGAGTCTCCTACCTAAGCCTTCTTTCAAGGGTACAAGAGAACTCTGCAGCAACTTGGATCAAGAGTGTTTGGTAAGCAAATTTTCACTTTTTTGTGATTTATTGTTGATTTATTATTATGCCATTCATGATGTGATACTTTCATGATGGTGTGATCAATTCATGGTGTTGTACTTTTTGATCTTTATTAAAATATGATTGTTGATTTAAAAAAATAAATGAATGGTTATGACCTAACTGTAGCACAAAGTTTGAAATAATATGGGATAATGGAGTGTGGAAATGCTTTAAAACTTTTAACTTTAATAAATATATCCATGGTTCTACAATGGCACGTCATGGCGTGAGACGCGTCTCTGATGCCACGTCAACCCCCGTGGGGGCTGTATAAAGCGTGGTGCACACCATGGTGTCTTGTGGTGCGACATGCCGTGTTCTGGCACAAGTTCATTTTTTAACCCATACTTCCTATTTTTCCTTAAAACCCGTGAGATTGCTTTATCAGTTGTTAACTTGTTATGATGAGCCTTTTATACAAACACTTTTTCATATATATACATATATATATATATATAGAGAGAGAGAGAGAGAGAGAGAGATAGGGTGGAGGGTGGGGTTCAAATGAGATCCATAAATATTTTGAGGACCTAGAAACCAACTATTTCATAAATTATTCATGTTGAATAACCCTAAAATATTCATGTCTTGAGCTATGCCTTGAAAAAGCTCCTAAAGCTTGAACTTCCTGCCACACCACATCTCCCATCAGTTAGAACCTTGATTGCAATGGAAGTTCTTTATTTTATTTTGATCTATCTAAGATGCATTTGTTTTGATATGAACAGCAGAACAGGTTCTGGTGGTCACAAGGAGACGAAGAACCGCCTGCAACAATCCACCGCCAAACTTGAGATCTTACAAGGTCCCAAAAGATTTGCATCAACCGATAGAGCCCAACTTCCCTGGAGGTCAAGACCAAATACTATTTGCCGTGCATAAATATTATATACGTAAAAGAAAGATTCAGCCTCATGGTTCTTGGTTTTCTCCTGGACTTGCTATCTGCTGTTGCTAAGTTTTTGAAACGGGATGGAATTGTATTATGCAGTAAAGGCGTAATCTCTCTTTTACGAGAAACGACTCAAAAAGTTTATGATCAATGTTATATATTTGAAATATATAGCAAAGAAGTACCTAATGATTTTTGTTTTATAACTATGAATGGTGTTAGTGGTAATCAAGGTAGTTCTGTTTCCAAAGAGTCTGTATTTCTGGTAATTGACAAGAGTTCTAAAATGGTCTCATTTTCATTCAGACCACTTATATGATGAGATTTTGGGATATGTTCTAAAACTGATCCTTCAAATGCACAAAAAAGTCGTCTTATTATTACCAAAACTGATCAGACCTAGCAACCCCTTCATGAAAATGATAAATAAACAAGGGGAAAAAAGACAGCATCTTAATGGTTGTAAAATATTCTGAATGATTTTGTATTATGGACCCTTTAATCATTCAGCATCCAAATTTCATTCTGAACAATTACCAAATAATTATATTTTGTTTTGCATTATATTATGAGAGACTTTTAATTATTCTGACTATTTAATTATTTTGTAACAAATCTTTTAGCAATTGGCAAACGATCCCTTATATTCTATTTTTAAGATGCATCAATAAACTAATCATTTTTTTGAGTTCCATCTTTGATTTTTAGGAGGTGTTTGAGATTTGCTTATTTGAAATAACTATGCTTTTATACAAAAACATTTATCAATTTATTATAAGTCAAAAGGGTTTAACTTCAAAAACTGCTTATTACCGGTTTGATACCGATATAAATTGTTTACCAAAACAGTAAAAAAAATGTTTATTGTCGGTGCCGTACAAACACCCCCTATAAAAAATTATTGAAAATGTTGTAAAAATTGAGTGAAATAAAGAACCAAAATCTTATATTTGTCTGAAAGAATCCAATTTTCAAGTGAAACCATTTTATATTATGGAGATTTCCAGAGGTGAATGGAGTCCATTCAATTCAATTCAATTCCATTTCAGTTTTTTATTGATTCAATCAAGCACTTGGAAAGAGTAGTAGAAGGTGATTCAAGCGGGAGGAGTATGGTGGATAATTTCTTGAAATTCGGCACCCCTTCGTTATGTAATTCCCTGCTACCAGTTCCTATTCAATTTTCTCTATCATCTTCAAGATCCCTTCCCATGGCGTCCCTCAATTCCATTAATCCTGCTACCTCCGTTCAGCCTTCCGTTCTTGTTTTCTCAGGTACAACTCTCTCCTCCATTTGATTGCACTTCTTGTTTTGAAACTTCCGAATGTACCTTACGAAATTTGCAGCAATTTGTTTTTGGGATTTTAATGTTTAGGGGTTCTTTTCTGGGAAGTAGCCCCCTTTAGGAAATTCGGGAAAACAAGATTTAACTCGTTGATTGAACTGGTCCCTGTTTGAGAATTGTGATCTACAAGCATTTTGAATGTGGTTCGTGCTTCGGACTTGGCGGGTAATGGACTATTACCGGCCCGGTAATGGCAAAATCAAGGAAGTTTTTGGATCTAGATCAATAATCAGTGGTGACGATGCGCAAAAATTAGTTTAAAGAGTTTCGTTTATCTTATGGTGCATCTCAAAATGGAAATTGTTGCAATTAGGTGTAATGGTTCTAAGGTCTTGGAGAAAAACCCAAATAAAGGAATGTCCCTAATGCAATCCCGACTCTTTTACCAGAAAATTCCTTCTTTAGTTGTTTTATGAATAATAGAGCACCTATAAGAGTATTGAGTGGGTTAGTTTATAGGATCTTAGAGGAAAACCCCCTAAAAGGAAAATGCAAAACCAATGTTAATTGTGGACTTATGGCTTGCTTGTGTAGTTACTACACGTGTGTTTGTTTTCTGTTCTGTATGAATCTTATTGTGGGTTTAGAATATGCTTGAAAATGAAAATGGAGTTCTAGTTATATTTTTTCTGTGCTCAAAGAGCGGAAGCGCAATGCAAAAGGTAAAAGTAAATGCAAGAGGAAAATAACAGTTATGAAACTATCATTGACCCTACTTCTGGGAGCTGGCTTCCATGGCCGTGAACATGCTCTAAGAAAGTAAATTGGATGGACAGTCACACTTCTTGAAGATGATGAGACGTTCACTGAATGATTCATGCACATTGATTTCCCTTGATTACACATCCATACTGTTGTCAATAGTACTTAACTTTGTTATCTAGTAAAACGAATTTACTTTGTGGGTTGCTTATCAGTACTCAATTGTGCTATCATAACCTTAACGAAACTCCAGGACATGTATTTACTATGTTTTTTCTTTCATGAATCACGATGAAGAGTAATCATGTGTGCAAAAACTTAAGCTTGTATGGGTGTCCTGCAGTTATTTAAATTCATCCCAAGATTATCAGATGTTAGTTCTTGTCTAAATGAATGTGATTTTGGTTCAGGAAATTTAAGTCCTTTGTAGCTGAAAGGTTCTCCATAGTTGGTCATGGATTTTATATATGGTACACATAATAGAACAATTATTATTATCAAATCGTGCAGTTAAACACGATGCAATTTCCGGGTTCACAATATAATTTGTAAGAAAGTAGTTTATAGAACCAACAACTATCACTGATTTTATAGTTAGAGTAATCCATAAAATGTAAAGCAAAGAGCTTCAGGGATTTGAATACTGAAATAATGCACGTTACTTGCTGAGTCCTTTCTCTCCCATTTTCAGCATGCATGCATTGGTGCCTGCTCTCTCTCTCTCTCTCTCTCTTCCTGCTTTGACCCTATCTCTTTCAAATACATGTGGGGTTTTCCGCACCTTTAAATGATTATTTGATTCATATTGATTTATGAATTTAAAGTGAACGTTTTGCATTCTTGAAGGTTAAGAGTAGGAATAGCTTGTTTGAAGTTAAAAACGTTACAATGCCTCAAAGTTATGTGCTGCATTCTTGAAGTCTGTAGTGTTTGTTTCTTAGGATGATATGGGATTATGCATGTGCTTCAAGTTGATATTTAACTTTTCTTTTTTACTTTAAATAGTAGTTTTATGGAAATTTTCATGTGGGATAACCAGGGTAGCTATAGGCCTTGTAAAGCAGGAGGTGAATAATGTCTTTTGTCCTTTAGAGAAGTCAACTATGAAGTTCTGATTTGTAATGTTTGCAGCTACTTGTCTATATTAAATCTTCTGGTTTTGTTCTATAATTGGTACTCTAACAGGGGGGACTGCTTTCAATGGTGTTGTTGAAGAACTTAAGAAGTTGACAACTTGTGTTGCCCATGTTCTTCCTGTTTCTGATGATGGTGGAAGTACAGCTGAGATTGTTCGTGTTCTAGGTAAATTTGACAAGTATTCTTTTCTTTATTATGCATCCTCAAGTTATTTGTTCTTTCACGAAACCCACACATAGATATACTTTCTTCTAGCCATCCAATTCATAACAAAATCTTCTTCTGTGGCTTAGGTTTTAGAACTGTTTGTTTTGTTTTGCCTTTTTTGGGATTTGACTGCAAATTCTTGGTGTCCATGTTTCAGGCGGTCCAGCAGTTGGAGACATACGGTCAAGATGCTTGAGATTGTCTGACCAAAGTTCTTCTGAGGCTCTTGCAGTGCGGACCTTACTTGGTTATCGTTTGCCTCTCGATGCACAAGAAGCCAAATTAGAATGGTACTTCCTTATCTTTTGCTGAAGCAGCTCCTTCTCCCATTTCACTTGTCTTTTTGTATTTCTTAATATTGATATATGCTGCAACCTGATGTATTACTTTCAATGGACAGCCTAGTGCATAAAGCTTGCATAATGCGAGGTCTACTTTATGGCCATACCCAGTAGAATATAGTTATTTCTGCAGTTTAAACTTGTGAAGCCTAAAATCAGAATAGGATAACCTATCTGCATAACGTAGTAGCATGTGGTATGCCATAGCATTTATCTGAAAACCATTTAACTACTACTGATTGACCACAAAATTAAGAAAGGATGGAAAAGCTTGTTCCTAAGGAGGTGCATGTATATGGGCATGTGGGCCGGAACTAAGAGACAAAGAAATGAAATAAACAAGATCATATCAAGTGTAGCAGTTTTTCGGGGTTATGGTGTTTAGCGTTATAAGCATTTCGAATAGCCTTTTACTAAGGAATTTATATTGTTAGCGTGCTAAGTTGAGAATTGAACAGGTACGGCATCGTAGAAGGGGAACATCCTTTATGGAAAGATGTTTCAAAGCCCTACAGAGAAACAATTCGTGCCTTTCTGGCCTATTTCCAGAATCAGGTTTCTTGCTTTTGCTATATACTAGTTATTTGTTGTTCTTTGTCAAAACATTTTATGTGCCAACATAGCATATGATTGTAAAAGACCCAGGTGCCAACATAGCATATGGTTGTAAAAGATGCAAGGATTATTGCTGGCTCATGTTGAAAATTGTGCTCATATTTTCTGTAAGGGCATAGACTTCAATGTGCTGGTAAAGCTATACGCATGCTTGAACCATATGCTAACTTGGTACTTCTCCAAAGCCTTTATATATACTTATGTGGAGTTTCAGTGGTTTGCTATTGCACATGGGAATAGGGACTAATTGATTGATGAGAGCTGATGGCTGTTGTTAGGATGTTATGATATTAAGACAATAAAATGAGCTGATGGCTGTTGTCAGGATGTTAACTGCAATTTTCTTAGAGAAAAGATTCATTCTGGAATCATCAGAACTTTCTTTCTCAACTCCAAAAATCAATTTGCTTATATCTTTTTTAAATCCCTACAGGGTCCTCGGATAACTTTTATATGTGACAAGATGGATGCATATGATGTAATGCTTCATTTTGAAGGGGAGTGTTGAGATTATGTAAATCCCCTGGATCAAGGGATTAATCTACTTGAATATTATTTCTTAAAATCTAGGCACCAAATGCCTATATATAATGTAAGATCTTATGCATATATACAAGAAGTGAAAGATTTTTAGTTTTATTGTGCATGACTAAAAACATAGAAAAAGATTAAGATTCCTACTATATGAAAGGGTAAGTAGGCAAAGAATCCAACAATGTAGGTCTGGTCAAGAGTCCTCTAAACGTCCATAACTTTTGGTCATACGTTTCTTGTTAGCCACACTGGTATGATGAAAGAGAGAGCATAACATAAACTAACATGTTAAAGTAAAACTTTCTGTGTCTTCATGATGTTGTAGAAGTAAACTTTACTTTCTTATCTTTTTCCAATTCTACTGAAGGTTGTTGAAGTAAAATTTACTTAATGCCTTCCTCAACTGTAATCAATATACCTTTCTGGTGGACATCTAATTTATGCACGGTATAAATTTGTCTAGTATGATTTACAGCTGTTTATTCACACTTCTTTGTATATTCTTGAAATGGGTTTTAGTAGTACTTATTTTGCTTGCAGATCCTTCGAAGAACAAACGAGTCCTTTTGTTTTAGCAATGGAAGGTAGGCCTAAAGGTTTTCTTTTGGTTAAACTTTTTTAAGACTTCAACATTGTGGTAGGCTCGTAAGTTGTAACAAAATTATATGTCGGGTTATAAATAAAGTGGGTTTTTGTGGGGGAATGGAAGGGGATAGTGCGTGGTCTTAAATATTGTAGTTATGAATCTTAAATATTGTAGTTATGAAAAATGCTAAATCTACTATGCTTACCTCTTTCATATATTAAAATATCTATTTCTTGTCATCTCTTGCTTAGGGGTTGTTTGGTTGGTTTTCCATGAAGTCCTGTATGGATAAAGATGTCTGTGTGGATTAATTAGTCTGTATATAGGTTTGTAATAAGGATCTCACCAGTGGGCAAGTGATGTTGAGGATGTTGGCAAACACTGTTGTGGATATTTTGAGTTCCCAAAGATTAAATATCATATTATCATGTGACAATTGTCATATGGCAGAAGTTTATAAGTTGCATAACACTGAGAATTATAAAAAGAATGCCTGTATATCGGCGTATAATGGTTTTTCGGCAACCTTGAATTTTTAATAATCAATAAACAAAAGAATACTGAATACATATACCCTAATACTGATATTAAGTTATTAACTACTGACACTCGTCGCAAGCTGGAGTCTACATTGATGAGCTATCAGTAGAATTTCTAAAAGATGTCAAACCCTAAAAATAATATAATTAGGCTAATAAGTCAATACTCATCACCACCTTTTATTTAAATATTGCTTGAAATGAGGGTTCAATCATACTTGATGATCCATCAGATAAAAAGGTCTTCTTGCCCATGAAGTTTCTAATCATTCTGGGGGAAATATGCACACACACACACATACACACACATATATATATGCAACTTCCTGTCTACAAAGTACTATTGTTATTGATTTTTTTCATTATGCAACAATATTGAAACAGGTTCTATATATGTGGAACCTGTTACATAATATGTCTGTTGTGAGAAACTGAACCAACTTATCTAACTCCAACATCGCTTTTTCCAGCATTGGTAACTTCTTCTTTGCAGGTGCACGTATATTCTTTCAGTCTCTGGATGCTGCAATATTTTTGTTTTCACGTGTTTCCCAGATTCCCACAGAAAGTCTGGTCCTTCCAGTGATATCCACCAACGACCGCCTTACTTTGGGGTGTGAATTATGGGTAGGTTTGTATTCTGAAGATACACCATATTGCATGCATTGACGACAATACACTATCTCTTTGTTAGGAGTTAGTTAAACTGGTCGTTACAGGGCTTCAAATAAGTTTAGATATTAAACTTCTGTTGCCTACATATGGATATTAACTTGTTTTATTTAATCAAATAGTGACTTGTTTTATTGGCTTAAGAGAAATGCTAGAAGATTATTAGATTTCAATAACGTTATTCTTTTTATGTGCTGTTTTTCTTCTGAAGTTTAGGATGGAATGATAATACGTGGTCAGAACGAGATATCTCATCCGACTAGTGGATCATTGCAACTTATAGATAAGGTACATCTGCATTTTATTGACTGGTTCCTTGTATGCAGAGTAAACCTTCTTTAAGAATTAAGATTATACTGTCTTTCTATCTATGTCCCTCACTTCTCACAAGCTGGGGTCTTCACAGAAACAACCGTTCTACTCTTTGAGGGTAGATGTCAGGTCTGCTTACATCTCACCCCCCCTCCCCACAAAAAAAAGACAGCCCACCTTCGGGTGGGATATACCAGCCTCATTTGGTTTGGTTAAGATTCTAACTTCTTACAATTGAATGCTAAAGACAAAATATATCTTCGTCATCATGCATGGGAGAATATTCCCTTCCATTTACGGAATATTTTATTGGGAAAATTTATAGATACCACCAATGTTACCATCAAGCTCATCACAATTCCTATATGTAGAAAAAGCATATGATACAATACGCTTTCTCTCTCTTCATAATTGTACTCACTCCTCTGAAACAGAAGAAAGTGACAGAGTTTGATGCTAATATCGGTGGTAGCCACAAATTTACTCTATTTTTATTTTACTATTAGAAAGACAGACAAAATTACGAATTATAATGATATATATGAAATACTCTAGTCCTTCTTTATAGTTGAAAGTTGCATATATAAAAATCTAGCCCCCCTTGTTATGTTACTTATTCTGTGTTCTTTAGAAGTTGTACCTTTGCTCCTGTTGGAGGTGGGCTCCAATATATGGCTACTGAGATGACGATAACATGAAACCATAATTTTTTAAATCGTCGGTTTTTATCTACTCAGATGTCATTTCACATTCATCTTGTTTTCATGTATGATGTTTTAATGGAAGTCCTGGATTGGAATGTGACTTTCCAACTTGGGACAGGTGTTTATTTGGCACCAAGGGCTCAAATAAACTCACCATTTACTCGGTCAATAAGAATAATATTAATATACTTGCTAACCTTAACTGCAAAAGCAAGTTGATTGATATACTTGCTAACCTTAACTGCAAAAGCAAGTTGTCCTACATATTGCACTTCAATCTTCCACTTGTTTTGTATGCCTTTATTTATTTGGGATACCATCTTTAAATGTACCATCCTTTAACTGCTGGATTCTTGGCTACAGGTAAGCTCTTCCGCACTACCTTCAAGAATAAAGCGGGTTTTCTACATGTCTAGTGAAGGAAGCAATTTATTGCACGAGGTGAATCATCTTGTTTAATTTGAACAAAAATTTCCTGTCCCCAAATCCCATGTCCCCTCCCTATCCCACCAATCACGTGAAATCATATTAATATAAATTTAGGGGGTGTTTGATTAGAGGTATTAAGCAATAAGCAGTAATCAAAAGGAATGATGATAAAAGAAACTGTTTGGTTATATATAATACAATGGCTTCATTCCCCCAGAAGCCCAAATTTTCATTCCAGGTTAAATTGGGGGGAATGAAAAGCCATTCCCATTTTCATCCCGTCATTTTCATTTTCGTTTTCATTCCCATTTTCATTCCCCAACCTGAACCAAACAGCCCCTTATTTAATTTATGTGTTCATTCTGCCTCTAGTGATGTGTTTTCACGTGATTGGTGGACAGGAGGGGACATGGGATTTGGGGATACGAGATTTTTATTTGTTTAATATACCCCTCCTCCCCTTACACACAATGGTAAAACACTTTTAACCCTTCATGGAGGAAAGAGGGAATTTGCCCTTCCTCTTACCTTCTGTTGAGATGATGATTCTGCTTTGAAACGTCTTTTTCTTTGCATATGCCCTTAATCCACTTAAGGGAACATACAAAATATATCAAGGGTTTATTCATTATGGGGCTAAATTTTATGCCATTTCAAGAGGAAAACTCCATAGGCAGTTGGATTTACATGCTATGCTTCACCAAGATCATTTGCAATAATATTTCTAGTTCTATGTTTTTTGCATTTTGTGTTCACATTCATATATATATATATATATATATATATAGAGAGAGAGAGAGAGAGAGAGAGAGAGAGAGAGAGAGACTCGGTTCAGGGGGAAACTACAAAAAAGTTGGAAAACTGTGGAACACCCTAATAACCATTCATTTTTCCTTTATGCACATGTGCACAAAAGTAAGTGAAAATGTTTCTTGGTTTCTATGCAGGTGTGCATTTTATGCACATGTGTGTACCGGACAAATTACTTTTATGCACATGGGCATAGTAGACTGATGAATGGTTATTAGGGTGTTTCTTAGTTTTCCATTTTTTGTGGTTTTCCCTTAAACCCAAACCCTATATATATGTGTGTGTACTTGAAATTTCTGAACTAAAGCCAATAATTTAGCTATTATATCATGTAAATAAATGAAAAATCTTGACAAGTTTATTTCTACCTGTGGTCCAGGTCTTCCCCTCTGTTAATCCATCTGTTCTAGAACAGTTGGGAAATGTGGATTGCATTATATATGGTATGGGGTCCCTCTTCACTTCCATCTGCCCCTCTCTGGTAAGTCCAAACAGTAAATAAGTTCAATTATTGAAAGTAAATTTTCATGGTTGTTAGCCAACAACTAGCTTATCAGCTAGTTTTTACCAAACCTGACTAGCTTATCGGTAAGTTATTCTTTTTCATGCTCTGATTATACAGGTCTTACTAGGAGTTGGAGAGATTATAGCTTCAAGATCATGTGCAAAGGTAAGTGTCTCTGGTGCTGTCACACCACTGCCACCGCCACCACCACCACCGTCTCTGCCACCATTGCCACCGCCACCACCACCAATTAACATTATTAATAATTTTATCGTTATATAGTATTTTTTAATTAAGCAATAAAGTATGAATATATTATGAAGGGTATTTTGGTAATTTATCACTATCTTATTAAAATTCTGAAGTTATTTTTAAGGATCCAAACAAACAGATTCCATTCCAGTTCCTACCAATCAAACTCATGGTCAAACCTCACTAAATTCCACTCCAATTCCTTCAAATTCCAATTCCTTCAAATTCCAATTCCTTTGACAGATTCCAGTTCCGACAGATTCCATTCTATGAACCAAACGCCACCTAATACTTTAATAATCTATATTGATATGGCTTGATGGATAATTATTATATTTTCCATATCAGGTACTTCTGTTGAATGGTACTTATGATCGAGAAACTAGTGGATTTACGGCCTCTTGCTTTGTTACTGCCATCATGGATGCTCTAAATAGAACTTATGGGCATCTCAATAATCGTCTAAAAAACAATGTGAGTGATGGATAAAAACAATGAGTTCCTGCAGTGATTGTGATTTCTACTACCAAGGTCACTTTTTTTGGGTAATAACCATATGAAATCGCATTTTGCTAATTAAAATGTAATCTAATTGAGAGCCTTATTGTTCTCCTTCATCTATTATTGATATCATAATGAGCCTATTTATGCATACATTAGAAAAGAACCCTATTCTTGTGATTTTTGCAGGCGAGTCAATACATTAACACCGTTTTCGTGCCAAAAGATGGTCAAATTCCTGTAGATATCAAATGCTTGGCTGCCCAAGGAATCGTTCATGTGGTATGTAAATTTGTTGCTAATCTTATAAACATACTTTATATTTTCTTTTTACCTTATTTTATCTTCGGGGCAATTGCATATAAAACCAAGTAGCAAAAAACGAACTTTGTCATGTTTCAAAATGTTCAACCATACATCAAACGGGTTGGGTTCCGGTATGAACAACCCCTTTTCATGAGAATGTGAGAAAACATGAAGGTATCATTATATTATGTGAAGGTTTGTCGTGAAAACTTCGAAGATACCCTTATATTGTGTGAACCATAGTTGTAAAAGGGCGCTTGAGGCGCGCCTAGGCTCTGAGGCTCAAGGTCTTTGGCTTTTCTAAAGTCGAGGCTAGGAATATTCATGAGGCTCACTAAGGCCCTGCGCCTTGTGGGCCTACGCGTGCCTCATAAAGAGTTACTAAAGACCAAGTCAAACCCCAATATTAAACACCCGGTTCTTATAACTTCAAGCCTCTTTCTCTATAAATACCCAAACCTTAAAACTTCTCCCTCATGGCTCACGCTTTAAACCCTTCTCCCTTCTGCCTCTATCAAAATATTGTTGGTTGCTGGACATGAGGCGTGTACTTTCTACATATTTGGCTGTGTAGCTATGTGTGTGCATATACATATAATTTTTTTTATATAAGATGCGCTTCACATTCCTGAAGCCCGTGCCTCGAGCCTAGGCCCCGGGACCCCTTTGCGCCTAAGTGCACCTTGAGACTTTAACAACTTTGGTGTGAACGTTACAACATTCATACAATATGTTGTAGCCTTCCGATATACATTTGAAGGTGATGTGAAAGTTACAATCTTCACACAATATAACATAACATTCACACTATATAAAATTATCTTCACTTATTCTCACCTTCTCACGAAAGTGAATTTCTCACATGATCCTGACTCTACGTAAAACATATGTTGATTCAAGTATTTTTTTTTTTGTATTGGTTACAATGGGAAAATAGGTAATTTTAGCTTGAAAACTTTCCAACAAACGAAATGTTGAAAACTAAAGATAGGATTGTAAGAGGCGAGGTTCATTTAGGAAACTTAAATATATTTTGAGAACCCAAGGTCCACCTAATTTATTTCGTATTCATGAGGAATAACCTTGAATAATAATGAATCTTATTCATCATGAATATCTCTCACAACATTCATCATGAATATCTCTCACAACATTCATCATGAATACTACACAAAATAGGTGGTTCCTGGGTTCTCAAGAATGTTGTAACAAATATTAATATTCAAGGTTATTCATCATGAATACTACATAAAATAGGTGGTTTATGGGTTCTCAAAATATATTTAAGGTTCCTAAATGAATCTTACCCTACCCCATATGCCAATTATTGCAACCATTTGAAGGACCGATCAAATATCAACTCTAGACAATATGTTAGGCTTAGAAAATTCTTATCAAAACCACGGCCCACGAGTCTTCATGGAAACAGTCATGTTACTCTTTGGGTTAGAAGCTAGTTATGTGTATGTCCTACCCTAGACCCCACTTTCAAGTGGGATATTCTGGTTTGGTTTAGTTTAGAGAATTCTTATCTTGCCGGGGGTTAACAGAAACAACGGCCACCCTACCCTTTGGGCTAGAGGATAGGTCTGTGTACATCCCACCCTTGGACTCTATATTCAAGCAGGATATACTCGTTAGTTTCATTTAATTGAGAATTCTTATCAAGCCTGGGGACATCCCAGAAACAACTGCTCTACCCTTTGGGCTAGAGGACTAATCTGCAACTCTTCTTACATCCAACCCCTAGATTGTACCTTTGAGTGAGATATACTGGGTTCGTTTGTTTTAGAGAATTCTTATAAACTAAAAAATTACAGGTCCGTGTTGAATCAATGCATGATCCAAAGGTGGGCGTAGTCTATGAGCCAACAGCTTTGATACAAGCCCTTGGTGAATTATTAAGCGGAATCACGAACAAGATAAGCTGAGGTGACATAATAATACCAATCATAGCATACAGTTCAGCATTCAAAGGTATCAAATTCTCCCACAACTCGACTCCTAACTTGAATTTTACGTGTTCAAAAACTTTGTTAAGCGTCAAGATATGGCGTTTTGTATCAAGAATCGTTTCATTTTGTAAATTATGAAGTAGAAAGGGTAGCGGAAAGTAATTAGTTTGTATATTCTTGTGAAGAACTCATGGCAGAAAGTAGTTGAACAGAATATATGTATTTAAGCAACATTTCTTGCTTCAGTTTCCGCAACAAGACGACTAGTTTTGATGTATATCGGGCCCTTTTTGTCTTTGAAAATGAATCGATTGAGATTTGGTATACATTACGAAATGGATTGCTATAAAAAAAGTCTACAATCCTTGGAATACAAAGCTCTTTTTGGAGATATATCGTTATGCATGTCGTAGAGATGTCCAAACACCGAAGCCTAGGCCCGTGATAGGTCTAAACGCCTTTTTTTCTTGAAGCCTGCAAAAGCCCCATCGATCCCATTTTCACACCCGAAACATGGGCCAGTCCAACTGCTTGAGCTTGAAGCCTGAAAATGTCCAAGTTATTTTTAGCTTAATGAAAATGGCTTGGAAGACCCTTGCTAGAAAAAGCCCAGATTTTATGCATCTCTATGCATATGGGATCATTCTATGTTCCATTTCTACGTTTGCTTTTGTATTTCCTCGTTCAAGTTTTGAGCCTTGGTGGCTCGTATTTTAAATCAGAAGCTTGCCGAGGTCACACCTACCAGCTCGGCAAGGCTCAACTGTTTAGGCTCGAGGTATTAAACTCTTACTCAAAGATACCTTCCGTAAAAGCTTGTTTCCACTTGAGATGGCTTTTCCCACCTCCAGGTTAAGAAGTTCTGTAAAAAGGGTATGGATGTCATCCTTAGAAACGTAGTCCTATTCTACTTCTACTGATTACACGATCATCATGAAAAGGTAAATCATCTGTTCCATATAATCAAAATAAGAATGTTCTGAAAAAAACTTTAAAAATTAAATAAAAACCTGAAAATGAATTCAAAGCTCACATGTAAACACTATACAGGCTATGAACTCATTTTATGAAAGTCTGAATAGGTTTATAAAAATTAATATATAAAAGTAACAATTTGTAAAATATATTCACCAACTTCAACCATATATTAATAAATACATCAAAATCCCCTTGTGGCTATGGAGGTTCAAACATGGTGACTCCGGATTATCTGCAAAGCAGGTGGTCATTCTGAGATTAGTCGGCTCGCATAGCGAGTTGGATATTCAAGTTAATAAAAAAAATAAAATAAATAAATACATCAAAATTAGCATTACATTAATGTTTCATTTCAACCACACTTTTTTTTTTTCATTTTTTCCCCTAACAATTACCGGCTCATCAAACTAAGAACTTTTATCACACCTTGCAATGAAGTGACTTGTGATAGCGCTTGGTATACAGACGAAACTGGACAAGACTGTATTGGACATGACAAGTTATCTGTCTGGTATTTGTTATGACTAGAGGACTAGACATGCCTTGGTTGGACAAGTTGCCTCCAAATGTTGTTTAATCATTTTATATGATGGTTACCGGTGATGGTGGAAGTGGAGTCGGTGGTGGCTAGTGACTGAAAGTGGTTGTGGAAGACATGGAGATAGAAGTGATAGTGGTAGCTGATATATGGTGGAGCTTGCCACCGGTCGTGGTGGTGACGACAATGGGAGTGATGGGCGGTAGTGATGGTGGAAGTGGTGATTGTGGAGGATGTGAATATGGTGATGTTGGATATGGTGATAGGGGTGTAAACGAGCAGAGAGTAATAGGTTATTCGAGCTTGACTCAAAAAAGAAATAACAAGCTCAAACTCGATTCAATTTTTTGTAGTTGGGCTTGAGATAAAATATTTTTTCAATGTTTAGGCTTGAGCTCGATGCTCGTTTATGAGTACGAATTCGAGATCGATTAACTCGTTTATTTACTCAAGCTCGATGATTTTTATATTTTGATTCTATAATTTGTAAACATACAAATATGTTTGGCTCGGAAAAGTGTATGCTAGAATGGCTTGACTCATCTCGACTCGACTCGACTCATAAAGTTTAATCAGGCTTTCGAACGAGTCAAGTTGAACATAATTATCATGGAACTCGACTCGTTAAGTTATACGATTTTTATTTTGTATTTGAGATTGACTCTAACTCGAGTAACTTGTTAAGTTTAATCCCCTTGACTGCTCTCTCTGTTTTCTCCCAACGAAGACAAAACACAAAATTTTGAAAATAAACCCATTTTTCAAATGAAAAATAGAAGTCCAAAAGGACACATGTAAAAGACAGTTTTGAAGTATGGTTAACCATTTTCTACGGCAAATCAAAGCAAAATTTGTATATAATTCGTCACTATCTGTATATGTTGATGTTGCCCTGCCCTCCCAACAACGTCGTTACCTACATCTTCTATTTATAACCAACTTTCTTCCGAACATTGCAGACCATCTCCACATTTACTAATACAAAACCCAAACCCTAAACTCTAAACCTTAAACCCCTGGAAGCTAAAGTATGTCACTTGATAGATCACTTCTTCTAGTTGCGCTACTGGTTTTCGGGATATGGGCATGCAATGTAACATCTCGAACGTTAAACGAAGAGACCATGTTACAAAAGCATCAACAATGGATGGCTCGTTATGGGCGTCAATATAAAGACGACATAGAGAAAGAAACACGATTCAAGATATTCAAGAACAATGTGGCGTACGTGGAATCATTTAACGATGCGGGGAACCGGGGTTACAGGTTGAGTGTCAATGAGTTTGCGGATCAAACGAATGAGGAGTTTAAAGCCATCCGTAACGGATTTAAGGTCCCGTTCGGACTTGTATCGGCTCGAACCACATCATTCATGTATGAAGATGTGAATGCAGTTCCATCTAGCATGGATTGGAGGAAGAAAGGAGCTGTTACCCCAATCAAGAATCAAGGTCAATGTGGTAAGTCCATTCTATTAAGACATTTAGACATATTTAGCATCATATAAAGCTGATTTTGATGCAGTGAATTTATCGGTTTCATCTATCATTGTTGTTGAATCGACAGGAAGCTGCTGGGCTTTTTCGACAATTGCCGCTACCGAAGGAATCACTCAACTCACCACCGGGAAACTGATTTCGCT